GACGGCGCGTCTCTCTCTGTGTCTGTCTGTCTGATGGCGCGTCTCTCTCTGTCTGTCTGTCTGTCTGACGGCGCGTCTCTCTCTGTGTCTGTCTGTCTGTCTGATGGCGCGTCTCTCTCTCTGTGTTTGTCTGTCTGTCTGATGGCGCGTCTCTCTCTGTGTCTGTCTGTCTGAGGGCGCGTCTCTCTCTGTGTCTGTCTGTCTGAGGGCGCGTCTCTCTCTGTGTCTGTCTGTCTGTCTGACGGCGCGTCTCTCTCTGTCTGTCTGTCTGACGGCGCGTCTCTCTCTGTGTCTGTCTGTCTGTCTGACGGCGCGTCTCTCTCTGTGTCTGTCTGTCTGTCTGACGGCGCGTCTCTCTCTGCGTCTGTCCGTCTGTCTGATGGCGCGTCTCTCTCTGTGTCTGTCTGTCTGTCTGACGGCGCGTCTCTCTCTGTGTCCGTCTGTCTGATGTCGCGTCTCTCTCTGTGTCTGTCTGTCTGTCTGACGGCGCGTCTCTCTCTGTGTCTGTCTGTCTGTCTGATGGCGCGTCTCTCTCTGTGTCTGTCTGTCTGTCTGACGGCGCGTCTCTCTCTGTCTGTCTGTCTGTCTGATGGCGCGTCTCTCTCTGTGTCTGTCTGTCTGTCTGATGGCGCGTCTCTCTCTGTGTCTGTCTGCCTGACGGTGCGTCTCTCTCTGTGTCTGTCTGTCTGTCTGACGGCGCGTCTCTCTCTGTCTGTCTGTCTGTCTGACGGCGCGTCTCTCTCTGTGTCTGTCTGTCTGTCTGATGGCGCGTCTCTCTCTCTGCGTCTGTCTGGATGTCCATCTGCGTGCCTGCCCTCTAGTCTGCCTCTCTCGCTCCGTGTGTGGATGTGCGTGCGGGGAGCGGTAGTGTAGTGGTTAGCGCGCTGCGCTACGAAATCCGGCGAACCGAGTTCGATTCTCAAACTAGCCCTGGGCCACTCCTCGGTAGACTCGTCCTCAAATGAGTATCTCAGTGCGATGTATGAACATCGCCACTGGGGAGACAAAGGCGTCCGGGCGTAGTGCTGGCCACCCACCACCCTCGTGTGTCGTTCCGGCCTTCACAGATGCTCGCTAACAGCACTTGCCCCGACAGTCTGTTAAGACTACACCGGGGATCTTTGTAGTTGTGTATGTGTCTGTTCACCCTGTCCGTGTGTGTATGTGTCAGGGTGTGTGTGTGTCTCTCAGTGTGTGTGTGTGTATGTCTCAGGGTGTGTGTGTGTCTCAGTGTGTGTGTGTGTATGTGTCAGGGTGTGTGTGTGTCTCTCAGTGTGTGTGTATGTGTCAGGGTGTGTGTGTGTCTCTCAGTGTGTGTGTGTATGTCTCAGGGTGTGTGTGTCTCAGTGTGTGTGTGTATGTGTCAGGGTGTGTGTGTGTGTCTCTCAGTGTGTGTGTGTATGTGTCAGGGTGTGTGTGTGTGTGTGTCAGTGTGTGTGTGTGTCTCAGGGTGTGTGTGTGTGTCTCAGGGTGTGTGTGTGTGTATGTCTCAGTGTGTGTGTGTGTCTCAGGGTGTGTGGGTGTGTCTTAGGGTGTGTGTATGTCTCAGTGTGTGTGTGTCAGGGTGTGTGGGTGTGTTTCAGGGTGTGTGTGTCTCTTAGGGTGTGTGTGTGTGTGTCTCAGGGTGTGTGTGTCTCAGTGTGTGTGTCTCAGGGTGTGTGTGTGTGTCTCAGGGTGTGTGTGTGTATGTCTCAGTGTGTGTGTCTTTCAGGGTGTGTGTGTGTCTCAGGGTGTGTGTGTGTGTCTCAGGGTGTGTGTGTGTGTGTATGTCTCAGTGTGTGTGTGTCTCAGGGTGTGTGGGTGTGTCTTAGGGTGTGTGTGTGTATGTCTCAGTGTGTGTGTGTCAGGGTGTGTGGGTGTGTTTCAGGGTGTGTGTGTCTCTTAGGGTGTGTGTGTGTGTGTCTCAGGGTGTGTGTGTCTCAGTGTGTGTGTCTCAGGGTGTGTGTGCATGTCTCAGGGTGTGTGTGTGCAATGCGGTTTCAGGAAAGGGCGGTCCTGCACAGATGCCATATTTTCTGTCCGTCTGCTACAGCAGAGGTGTAGGGAATTCCAACAAGACCTACATCTCTGCTTTATTGACCTGGTCAAGGCCTATGATACCATCAGTAGGCCTGGGCTCTGGGTCGTTCTTCGTGCTTTTGGAGTACCTGACCCTCTGCTCACGATCATTAAGGACCTTCATGATGGTGAGCGGGCCCGGGTAAAACTACGTGGCCGGGAGTCAGAGCCATTCCCTGTACACCTTGGGGTGCGACAGGGATGTCCTCTGGCTCCCACATTATTTAACATCTATTTTGACCACGTAGTTCGTGAAGCCTTCAATAGCTGTACCGGGGGAATCTCCATATGGTACAGATATAATGGGAGGCTAATCGATGCCCGGGTGCGGTCAAGGGATGGCTCCCTATTGCTCAACCACGTTATGTATGCTGATGACTTGGTAATAGCTGCTCAGTCAGAGGAGGAGTTGGAGACGCTGCTGCTGAGACTGGAGCGTGCCACTAAGAGGTGGGGCCTTACCATCAGCCCCACCAAAACTAAGCACCTGCCTGGGTATTTTGTACCATCGGACACTCCACCCCCACAACTCCCAATCGGTGATGGGGCAGTTGTGGAGAGAGTGGAGAGTTTCCCATACCTGGGCAGTGTGCTTATGACTGGCTCCAGTTTAACAGCAGAGGTCTCACTCCGAATCAGTCGAGCGGCAATATCTTTTCATCGGTTGCGTAACGCTGTGTGGAAGCTACCTGGTCTGTCGCTCCGCACTAAGCTTCAGGTCTTCTCGGCCACGGTCATTCCCTCCCTTCTCTACGCTTGCGAAACGTGGACCCCCCTAATGGAACATCTTCGCCGGTTAGAAACATTTAGGCTGACCTGCCTACGATCCATCCTGGGTTTAACCAGACTGGATTGTGTGAGGAGCTCACAAATCCTTGAGAGATCTGGGCAGGGTCCCATCGGTGAGCTCCTCCGGCGGGCAAGGCTGCGATGGCTGGGTCATGTAGCCCGCATGCCCAGCCACCGCATGCCGAAACAGCTTTTGTTTGGCCGGATTGAGGGGGCTAAGCGGGCGCGGCACGGGCTAGAGAAGAGATGGAGTGATGTGGTACAGGAGGACGTGGAGCTGAGTGGACTTGCCGATGACTGGTACCAGCGGTGTCAAGATCGGCCTCTGTGGAGGAGGCTCGTGAAGGATGCTACTGGGCAGTTGGAGGCAGTCGCCCTCCAACAACAACGGAGGGCGGAGGAGCGACGCTCACAACAGCGAGCGGAGCGCCGGGTGGCTAAAGCACAGCAGGTTGGCACAGTAGGGGGCACAGGTGGTGCATCAGCCAGTCATCTCAGTCAGTCGACCCGTGGCACCTGGGTCTGCCCCGTGACCTCCTGCCAGCGGGCGTTCGACACTTCACGTGGCCTCAGGGTGCACATAGCCTGGCACAAGCGTCGTGGTGACGTCACCGCCACTTAGTGGCGAATGGCGGTTGTTGTTGTTGTTGTGTGCATGTCTCAGGGTGTGTGTGTATGTATCATGGTGTGTGTGTGTGTCTGTGTGTATGTGTATGTCTCAGGGCGTGTGTGTATGTCTCAGGGCGTGTGTGTATGTATCAGTGGGTGTGTGTGTGTATGTCTCAGGGCGTGTGTGTCTCAGGGTGTGTGTGTGCATGTCTCAGGGTGTGTGTGTCTCAGGGTGTGTGGGTGAGTCTCAGTGTGTGTGTGTCTCAGGGTGTGTGTGTGTATGTCTCAGGGTGTGTGTGTATGTATCAGGGTGTGCGTGTCTGTGTGTATGTCTCAGGGTGTGTGGGTATGTCTTAGTGTGTGTGTGTCTCAGGGTGTGTGTGTGTCTCATGGTGTGTGTGTGTATGTGTATATCTCAGGGTGCGTGTGTATATGTATCAGGGTGTGTGTGTGAGTCTCAGGGTGTGTGTGTGTCTCCGTGTGTGTGTGTGTATATCTCAGGGTGTGTGTGTGTATATCTCAGGGTGTGTGTGTGTATGTCTCAGGGTGTGTGTGTGTCTCAGGATGTGTGTGTCTCAGGGTGTGTGTGTGTATGTCTCAGGGTGTGTGTGTATGTCTCAGGGTGTGTGTGTGTGTCTCCGTGTGTGTGTGTATATCTCAGGGTGTGTGTGTATGTCTCAGGGTGTGTGTGTGTCTCCGTGTGTGTGTGTATATCTCAGGGTGTGTGTGTGTATATCTCAGGGTGTGTGTGTGTATGTCTCAGGGTGTGTGTGTGTCTCAGGGTGTGTGTGTGTCTCAGGGTGTGTGTGTGTCTCAGGGTGTGTGTGTCTCAGGGTGTGTGTGTGTATGTCTCAGGGTGTGAGTGTATGTCTCAGGGTGTGTGTGTGTGTCTCCGTGTGTGTGTGTGTATATCTCAGGGTGTGTGTGTCTCAGGGTGTGTGTGTGTCTCAGGGTGTGTGTGTGTCTCCGTGTGTGTGTGTCTCAGGGTGTGTGTGTGTCTCAGGGTGTGTGTGTCTCAGGGTGTGTGTGTGTATGTCTCAGGGTGTGTGTGTATGTCTCAGGGTGTGTGTGTGTGTCTCCGTGTGTGTGTGTATATCTCAGGGTGTGTGTGTGTCTCAGGGTGTGTGTGTGTCTCCGTGTGTGTGTGTCTCAGGGTGTGTGTGTGTCTCAGGGTGTGTGTGTGTCTCCGTGTGTGTGTGTGTGTCTCAGGGTGTGTGTGTATGTCTCAGGGTGTGTGTGTGTCTCCGTGTGTGTGTGTGTATATCTCAGGGTGTGTGTGTGTCTCAGGGTGTGTGTGTCTCAGGGTGTGTGTGTGTATGTCTCAGGGTGTGTGTCTCCGTGTGTGTGTGTGTGTCTCAGGGTGTGTGTGTATGTCTCAGGGTGTGTGTGTGTGTCTCCGTGTGTGTGTGTATATCTCAGGGTGTGTGTGTATGTCTCAGGGTGTGTGTGTGTCTCAGGGTGTGTGTCTCCGTGTGTGTGTGTGTGTCTCAGGGTGTGTGTGTGTCTCAGGGTGTGTGTGTGTCTCCGTGTGTGTTCCCACTCACGTGCGCCGCTCCCGTAGCACGTCTCTGCAGTCGCGATTGTATCTCGTTGACGAATGGAGAAGAGTGGAGCGGTAATGGCCAGAGAGGAGAGCAGAGAGGGAGAGAGAACAGCAGGGAGAGAGAGAGGAGGGAGAGGGGAGAGGGGAGAGAGGGGAGAGGGGGGAGAGGGGAGAGAGGGAAGAGGAGAGAGAGGGGAGAGGGGGGAGAGGGGAGAGAGAGGGGAGAGAGAGGGGAGAGGGGAGAGAGAGGGGAGAGAGGGGAGAGGGGAGAGAGGGGAGAGAGGGGAGAGGGGAGAGAGGGGAGAGAGAGGGGAATAACGGAGAGGGATGGGGGCAAGGGAGAGAGAGCGAGAGGTGATTGGTGGGCAGAGGGGGGACATTGGGGATAGTGGGAACGGCGTGGATTGGAGAAAGGTGAGTATGGGGTAGTGGTGAGGATGGGGTAGTGGCGAGGATAGGGTAGTGGTGATGATGGGGTAGTAGTGAGGATGGGGGAGTGGTGAGGATGGGGGAGTGGTGAGGATGGGGGAGTGGTGAGGATGGGGTAGTGGTGAGGATGGGGTAGTGGTGAGGATAGGGTAGTGGTAAGGATGAGGGAGTGGTGAGGATGGGGTAGTGGTGAGGATGGGGGAGTGGTGAGGATGGGGTAGTGGTGAGGATGGGGTAGTGGTGAGGATAGCGGAGTGGTGAGTACGGGGTAGTGGTGAGAATAGCGGAGTGGTATGTACTGTAAGTGGATGTCCTATGTGTGTGTATGTTTATGTCTACAGTTTCAGGGGTTTAATTTTTTTTTTTACCGGACCTGACCGGTTGGGCCACACGGAATATATTTCCACACCCAGTATACCACATCCAGTATACGCCTCGCTATCACTGTGACCACTCGCCACGTGTCTATACTTCAGTCTAGCAGCGATCCGGAATATCTTCACAATGAATCCGTGCACGCACGTGGCACTCAGGCACGTGGCACTCAGGCACGTGGCACTCAGGCACGTGGCACTCAGGCACGTGGCACTCAGGCACGTGGCACTCAGGCACGTGGCACTCAGGCACGTGGCACTCAGGCACGTGGCACTCAGGCACGTGGCACTCAGGCACGTGGCACTCAGGCACGTGGCACTCAGGCACGTGGCAATCACGTACGTGGTACACACGCACGTGGCACTCACGTGGTACTCACGCACGTGGCGCTCACGCACGTGGCGCGCACGCACGTGGCACTCACTCACGCGTGGTACACACGCACGTGGCACTCACGTGGTACTCACGCACGTGGCACTCACGTGGTACTCACGCACGTGGCACTCACTCACGCGTGGTACACACACGTGGCACTCACTCACGTGGTACACACGCACGTGGCACTCACTCACGTGGTACACACGCACGTGGCACTCACTCACTCACGTGGTACACACGCACGTGGCACTCACTCACGTGGCACTTTGGGTTTTCAGGTATGGGGAGCAACCCCTCCAGCAATGAAAATTATAGAGGAGTTGCTAGTTAGTAAGGACTTGTTAGTGATAAGGAGTTGTTAGTAAGTAAGGACTTGTTAGTGATAAGAAGTTGTTAGTAAGTAAGGACTTGTTAGTGATAAGGAGTTGTTAGTAAGTAAGGACTTGTTAGTGAGTAAAGACTTGTCCCTTGCTTTTTATTCGACGCGTGTGCGGCGATGGCTCAGCCATCGATCGAGGGTCAAATTCGAACCGCGTTGTGTGATCGGCATCGCACTCGCTGAAGGTGTCGATGCCTTCAGGGAAGTCGTGCACTGTATACGCGACTGCGCACAATTCTGTGAGTCTCTTATAACTGCTTTGCCGTTACTTATTGCCAACTATGGACTCAGACTATTGTCCTACCATCTCATAGAGTCCCTGGCACGTAATAATATGCGCTGGGGGTGGGGGAGGGGAACCCCGGGGGGAGGAAGCGGTCCGTTGGTTTTGGGTGTTCGGATGGATCACAGGAGGGAGATCCAGAGTGATGAGGGACGAGTGAAACACTCGCCATAATCGAATGGAATCCTTCAAAGACGAAGGATCACCCGCCTAGCCTTTGAAGGCCGGCACGGCACACGAGGGGGTGGCCAGCACTACGCCCGGCCGCCTTTGTCTCCCGAGTAGCGATGTTTACACACCGCACCAGGTACTCATTTGAGGCTGAGTCGATCTAGGGGAGGCCCGCAACCGGTTCGGATAATCGTCACCGGTGTTGGCCGTGAGCGGGAATCGAACCCGGGTCGCCAGGTTCGTATCACAGCGCGCTAACCGCTACACTACCGCTCCCCATGCACGCGCACACACATACACAGACACATGTACAAAGACAAAGATCCCCCATATAGCCTTAACAGACTGTAGGGGCAAGTGCTGTTAGCGAGCACCTATGAAGGCCGGCAACGGTACACGAGGGGGTGGATGGCCAGCACCACGCCCGACCGCCTTTGTCTCCCTAGTGGCAATGTTTACACACCGCACCAGGTACTCATTTGAGGCTGAGTCGACCTAGGGGAGGCCCGGGACCGGTTAAGATAATCGTCACTGGTGTTGGCCGTGACACATATACACACACACATACAGACATCATTAATAGTGGCCCTGGGGCGGGGGAGGAGGGGTGAGTTGTGGGGGAGGGGGGGGTAAACGATTATTCGAACCGGTCATGAGCCTTCCCTAGGTCGACTCAGCCTCAAATGAGTACCTGGTGCGGTGTGTAAACATCGCTACTCGAGAGACAAAGGCGGCCGGGCGTGGTACTGGCCACCCACCCACTCGTGTGGCCGTGCCGGCCTTCATAGGTGCTACTCGCTAACAGCACTTGCCCCAACAGTCTGTTTACAGGCTATACGGGGTATCTTTGTCTTTGTAGGGTTGTGGGCAGGGTGGGGGTTAGGGGGGGTAGCTACTTGGGTTGCATTTCTCCGCCCGAACGAGTTAAGGAGGCGCCTAGGGAGGGGCCCAACCAAACAGATGGGTCCTGAGGATGGGGGGGGGGGCACACCCTCCACCCCCCCTCCGCACCTCCTCTCCTCTCCATGCCCCCCACCTCCCGCTCCCTACCTACCCTGGGGCTCCCAGAGACACTTCAGCAACGCACACAGAGAGCGAGAGATCAAGGGTGAGTGGGTGAGTGGGTGGGTGAGTGAGTGGGTGTGATGAGTGAGTGGGTGAGTGGGTGGGTTGGGTGAGTGGGTGGGATGAGTGAGTGAGTGGGTGGGTGGGTGGGATGAGTGAGTGGGTGAGTGGGTGGGTGAGTGAGTGAGTGGGTGAGTGGGTGGGTGAGTGAGTGAGTGGGTGAGTGGGTGGGTGAGTGGGTGGGATGAGTGAGTGGTGGGATGAGTGAGTGGGTGGGTGAGTGGGTGGGTGGGTTAGTGAGTGAGTGAATGGGTGGATGAGTGGGTGGGTGAGTGGGTGGATTGTTGGGTGGGTGAGTGGGTGGGTGGGTGGGTGAGTGGGTGAGTGGGTGGGTGGGTGAGTGGATGAGTGGGTGGGTGGGTGAATAAATTGGTGGGTGGATGAGTGGGTGGGTGATTGAGTGGGTGGATGAGTCGTAGAGGGGGGCCTAGCGTGCGCGCACGCGTGACGGCGCCCCTACTAGCCCTCCGTGAAAAGAAAAATAGCTTTGTAGCTCATCGGATTCCCCCTGCAGTCTACATTTGTTTAAGCTCTGATGACTGAAGAACACAGCAGCACCGTATACATACATAAAGAGTTCAGCTGCAAACACACAAATCTCCCAGCCCCCCCGTATAGCCTTGCGCGTACAGTTGCTGTAGGGCGGTCAAATGCTACCGGCGAGTACGATACGGCGCGAGGCGACGCAGAAAATGAAGGGTGGTGGTGGTGGTGGCGGCAGTGGCGGTGGTGGTTGGTTGGTGGTTGTGGTGGTAGTGGCCACAGAAACCAACGTCTGTCCGCCTTTGTCTCTGCGGCGTTGACGTGCACGCGACGCGCCAGGAGTGCTCATTTCAAAGGGGGTCTGGGTCGACCGAGGCGAGGCCCCCCGACGGACTGATTCGATGATCAGTCGGAACCTGCCGGTGTCAGAACCTGGCCGGGGGAGGAGGGCGAGGGGGGCGGGGGAATCCCGCCGAGCCAGACGCCGAAGTTCCACAGCTCACCAAAGCAACCACACCGCCAAAAAACGTTTGATTATCGGTTACCGGTTAAACCCGTTTAACCGTTTTCGGTTCGCGGCAAGCCGAGGACCGGCAAACCGTTCGCAGTGGCAATTTTTGGAACGAACTCGCCGAGTTTTTATTTTTTTAATTTATCTTAAGAAAGTGGCGCCCATCGTTTCAGCTGCCGCGCCGGGCGATGGAATCGACGCGGCGGGCCTCGAGACGTGGCACCTCAGCGGTGTGCCCACCACCATCGCCCCACGGGTGGTGAGGTGTTAACTCCCTCGCCTGGTGTGCAGGAGGATCCGTGGGTTCGATCCCGACCCCTGACGCCTGCTGCTGCTGTATACTTGGAGTTTGTGTGCCTCTCTCTCTCTCTCCCCGTGGTCGCGTGAATTATTCTCCCGGGTCCCTCCGGTTTTGCTCCCATTCCAACATTGAAAAACAACATCACCACGCGTTGAGAGTATTTGACTGCTGTAAATGTCCACGTGATAAGCCGCTTCGTGGAGCTGCAGAGCTGCAATCGCTCAGTGGGCCCTTGCCTGGTGAAGTAAAAATAAAATAGTTTTGAGCTTAGGGTGGTAAATGAACAGCTGTGGCACCGCGAGGTATTAAAGAGCGATGCGTGATCGCGACCATCCGGGGCACTTCTCATCTCATCAGCACGCCGCGACCACCACTCATCATCCTTGCAGCGCCGCACGGCTCTCCTCCGCACCTCCGAGCGACGGCTGCGGCGATAAAGCCTCCTGAATCTCGGAGGCGGGGATGCTGCAGTCGTCGATAGTGGGCCTGTCGCTCTCTCTCTCTCAGCTCGCTGGAACACATCCTCCATCAGGCTTGGGCTGGGTACCCAGTGGAGCCATAGCAGCCGTGCGAGCCACGCTGATGAACCTCGCCCATTCAGCCCCGTCGGCATCGCGAGAGGGCACGGGAGGAAGAGGTCGGAGTGGGACGACGCCAAACCTCCGGCTGACTTTCCAGAGCTTGGAACTTTCACGAG